ACCTCCCTAATTCGAATGACGAGCGGAAGATGTGCGCCAGTGGTTTGGAAAGTTCATTCGCCAGTTCCTTCAAGAATTTGGCCGGTATATTGTCCGGACCCGAGGACTTTGCTTCTTTGAGATTTTTCAGCTCCCTTTCCACTATTCTGAGATTTGTCTCACACAGACTCGACCGCCTGATGACTACCAATTTGAGTCTACTCCATTTTTCTCGCTCTGCGGGGTAAAGGTCCCGCTGAAAAATAAACCGATGAATGGGCATGTCGAAGAGCAGGTTTCCTACTCAAAAGTAGCTGCGTTTGTTCGTCATTCTCAAGGACTCTTTCTTACGGTCTCGGTCGGTCGGGTTCATGTTTTGAGTCTTTTATTTAACACTGTGACTTTCTCGTCTCTTATTAAGATCGATTTAAGATATTCCTGGAATATGTCTATGTCATGCTGTATTCTGTCGTTTGGAGTGTCGGAAACAGACTCAGGCATGCCATTTATAACAATGCATTTACTGTAATCAACTAAACGGCCTTGTGGTTTAGTCATACCTGCAGATTCTTCATCGCGGATACCCCGGCCACCGCCTTCCACCGATTTAGGAAGGTTTGTTTCGGCAGGACTAACGTATGACTGCCTGTTAACTACAATCTTTTGATCATTTGTCGTTTTCAGCGGCGCGATTTTCGTTTGCGGCGTAGCCAACTCTTGTTCCCTCGTTTGACTCTCTGTGCCTTTTCGAGGTACCCTGAGATTTCTTTTTGTTCGCTGAGCTCGCGTCTGACCACGGTTTTCTCGCACAAGACACTGGTTGTCATTCCTGTCGAGCTCTAGCGACATACTATTTTCTTTCTCTATCGACACATCCGAGGAAACCGTGTTTGCGTATGTTCGCTCACTGTCATGCTCTTTGGATGAATAGCGAGGGAGATTCCTCAGCTCCTCCATCTCCACTTTCAGGTCCTTCATCTCCTTCTCCATTTCCGCAAATTTTTGAAGGAGTCCGAAACATGTCGTACAGGCTTCGTCTTCGTATTTGATATCCATACAGCTTACTAGACTCCTTGTTCGTTTAGCGGGAGGTGACTTGACAGCGATATATACAGAATTGCAGTCGTTTGTACTAAGAATAATGTTTACTCCCTTATTTATTTCAGTTTGTTCGCCGTTCGCCGATAGCTTAGTGGTGATATCGCTGGTCACCCTACAACGGCACCTGAGTTCAAATCCCATTTGCGGTGAGCTTTGTGCACATTGTCCTGCTGGTGTTTTGTCGAATCCCACTATTAATACGAAGGATGCGCAAGGTATTGTAGGTACTGCACGAAGTGTAGGAGAAGCTTTTTAACCAAGCCAACAATATGAAGCAAATAGCAAACGACTCAGCCGTTCTTGGATCTGGAGAGTCCCGCGGTGCTGTTGGCAGAGAATTGATGCGATGGAGAATGGCCGTCCCAAAGGAAGTTCTGTCGGAGTTCCGTGTGGATCGTTCGATGAATTGCTGATTACGCTTTAACTTCTTAATCCAAATGGGCCCGCAGAGAGTCTAGTAGGCAGAAATCCCGGAAAAGGTGAATCCCTCGGAGTTCGAAAATTCGAAACCGAAAACACAGTATTTTTTCAAATGATTAGTACATCCTCATCGCCATATCTAACCAGATCGCGTTTCTGGACTGACAACTGGAAGCCAGAGGACGTGAAAAATCTAAATTTTGGGCAAACTGCGTGAATCTTTCAAAACGAGTTACTATATACTAACGGTGCTAATAATAAAAATTATGCTAAATAACTCACAGACTAACTGACTATATTAACTACCTAACTAAATAATCAAATTACGAACTAACCATGCTAACAAACCAACTAACTATACTTATTAACTAACTAACTAACTAACGATCTTACTATGCTTACTCATTAACTAATTATACTAACTAAATAAACCAAGTAACTAACCAACCATGCTAAGTAAGTAAGTAAGTAAGTATACTAACTATCTAACCAACTATACAAACGAACAAACTTACTATCCTAAATAACCAAGTAAGTAATTAACCAACCAACTAACTATACTAACTAACTAAGTATACTAACTGCCTAACATGACTAACTTCATGACTAGCTACATAACTATACCAAATAACTTAATAAATTTTGGTCGAGCTGCGTGAAACTTCCAATAACTGCTTATTCGGCCAACTCTCTCACTTGATGGACTTTCTTAACGAAATCCTCAGGGTCTCTCAGTGATTGGAAGTATCAGTCATGTAACACCCCAGCAGACCTGACGGACAGAAACCCCTTTGTTTTAATGTCACTCACTCTTTTTGTAGATCGATCGTGAGGACTACTCACTCGATTCGATCACCGGTGATGATCGATCTGATAAGTCCAATCGTTGACAACTTTTCGTTTATCTGTTTTTGTTGTGCGTTGATTCTTATGCGTCTACTGTTTCATCTTTTCCCAGATTTTTGAACCGTATTTTGCGTGTATCCATGTACATATCGAGTTTCTGATGTTTTCGTTCATGACTATTTTTCTATCGTTCGTTACCGTTCGTTTTTTGCAATCGAGTTTCGGCGTCAATTCACTGTCATACATTATCTCTCACGGTCAATAAACTGTTTACATCTTCCACCCATCGTTTAATACTCATTACTTACCTGTGTGTCTGCAACGGATGCCTGTGTAATGGATACCTTAGGTGCGAACACTCAGGAGTCGGAGTCCCTGACCAAGAAGCGGAAGTTATACTCAGACCCTATTGATCCCCAGACTGTTCCTTCACCAAGTCCCCAGGACATTATATTGGTTGCAGCCGGTGAGCGCACCGGCCCTTTCCCCCTTCCACATCCGAACCAACCCACCCATCCCGCCCAACTGTCTAACGCCCTACACTCCTACGGACCTAGCCCCCTACTACCCCCGAACTATACGAGCCAGGACAGAACATCCGAGAGTGGCTCCAAGACCTATCTTTCCTCCTAGTGAGCGTCCCTCCTCACGAACACGTATGCTACCTCTTACGCTTTCTGTCCCCCCCGCCCGTAGGCCAGCGTTTGACGCCGGCCTAACCCCCACATCTGACTTCCAAAAGGCCTCTGAAGTTCTCTTGCAACTCTTTGCCAGCCCCGATGCATCGGCCATAGCGAACCAGCGGTTCGCCACACTAAGACAACGGCCCGGACAATCAATTCAGTTAAATTCAATTATTTTTATTAAAGACCCGTCGGGGTCCCATCAAAGCAAGTAAAAATAAATTTACATGCGAATTTTAGACGAGGCAGGCAAAATCTGTACAAAGTGCAATACATAGTTTTTGAGATTAAAAGTCCGTTAAGCAAAATGAAAAACGAGGGATGAAAAAAAACTCCAAAGCAAAATTTAAAAATGATTGTAGTAATTTAACAGGAGAAAAAAATCCCTCAAAAAAATAGCATCAGAAAAATGCAGGGAGGACTGGCCTGCATGTGGCGGTACAGAATGGAATATAGTCGGACATCAACATGGCCGAAATAAATGTCAGCTGTATATGGCATTGTGTAACGGATTTCATAAAATGGTACGTAGGCGGGTCGGTCAGCAATGGCCTGTATGTGGCCATGAATAAGATAAATAAGTGGCGAAATTGTAAACCAGTCTCAAGCTGATAGGAACCCAGATGTGGTCTGCTTCATTCAACCGAGTCCATCCGAGCATGGGGGAAGGCAGATGCGACCAGACTACTAGTATATGGCGAATATAGAAGGCTTTGTCAAGACCGCCGATGGAGCGCATTCAGTAAGGGCACGATGACAACCAGTCTCGAGGCGACAAGAACCCAGATGCGGTCGGTTACATTCATCCGAGTCCAACCGAGGATGGGGTAAGGGAGATGCAACCAGACTACTAGTATATGGCGAATACAGAAGGTTTCGCCAAGAGCATCGATGGTGCGCATTCTGTGAGGGCACGATGCATGAACGGAAAAATTGGAATAATCAACATTTCTGGTGAGGGATCTTAGGTAGCGAGACTACTCATAAAGGAAGGGAACGTGAACAGATACGGAAATTTAATGGCGGCATGCTAAATTCCCGGTGGCCCTTTCTCAGTGTCATAGAAAAAGTTGTCTGGGAAGGATGAGGAAAGTAAAAGTTTAATCGAGTCAGTATTCAGATAAAGGCGTAGCCTTCTCTTAAAGGTGTCTAGATTTTCCGAAGATCTTATATTTATTGGAAGGTTATTCCAGAGGAAAGTATACCTGGAAGCGAAAAAAGGGAGCGCTTAGAGGTGGAGGACGCTGGAGGAGGTATAATTAGAGACGAATTACGAAGATTGTATGGGCGACTACTAGGGGTAAGTGCTGAAATCCGAGGAAAATTTGAACTATGATAAATGCGAAAGAGGAGACAGAAGTCCGCTTCTAGTCTTCGAACCCATAAAAATTTTAGGTTAATTAGCTGGCATCTATCTGAGTAGGAGATATTGGGATGTTCCCTATCTAAAAGTTTTTCAGAAAAACGTCTTTGGACATTTTCAATTTTTAAACGACTGGCTTCATTCATCAAACCAAAGAATGGGCAACAATACTCGAGAATGGGAAGTACAAACATACGATAGAGCCTTAATTTAATTTCAGGAAGATAGAAATTGTAAGAAATATAGCCACAAATCTGGGCAGCTTTGGCTGTAATTCTGTCAGCGTGCGGCGAGAGGTCAAGATTGCTAGTGTAGCTTAAACCTAAATCCTTGATGGTGGTACATTCAGTCATAGGTGTGCCTTGAAAGACAACTGGTTGGGGTAGCCTATCAGGTCCAAAACACATATAGCGACATTTAGACGGAGAGAATTCCATTAGCCATTTTGAGCTCCAAGTTGAGAGAGCAAGCAAGTCAGCATGGATTTGCTCCAGGCAATGAAGGCTCGTAGATTTATTGAAAGAATATACACATTTGAGATCATCGGCATAAATAAATGATTGAGTTTATGACTTCGCCCACGACCTACGACGGCTGGCCGCTGCGGCGTTCGCCAATCTTCCAGAAAGTGATCGGGACCGGTTCATTCTACACCAGTTTATCACCGGCCTTAGGGACCGCACCTCCAGCGGTGTCCTCTTGTTACACCCACCCGCCAGCCTCTCATCGGCTATCCAACAATGTCGGCTCTACGAAGAGTGTTACCCGAGAGCAAATGGGCCCACACACCGCACCAACAGCCCCACCCGTACGACTCCCCCACCCAACAGACGGTCTTCCGCCTTACCAGTTCGATTTCCGGACCACGACCCCGGATGCCCCTATTGCGCAGCGTTTGGACCCCAAGCTCGGCGATGTGGACATAACCAGCCAAGTAAGTCAGCCTTCGTTGCTCCTACCTACCTGGCTTTATCATCCCACCCACCCCCTTTCACAATACCCGCTACGCTAGGCGGTCACAATATACTAGCCTTAGTAGACACGGGCGCCAACGTTTCCCTCGTGAATAGCTCAAACCTCACACGAGCGGCCCCCATGCCCTGCGGGCAGCGAACGGTACCCTTATAACCATTTTGGGTCGCATAACCCTAGGCCTCACTATAGACAACACAGAGGTCACATACCAATTCCTGGTGACATCTGATAGCCCGTGGGCCTTAGTTCTAGGGTTGGATCTCCTGGCAGACTACGACTGCGTTATCCACACCAAGAGTCACCGCCTGTCAATTCCGGCACACCCAGATCCTTCCAACCACACACCTCCACAGAACCTCGATCTAATATATGACGCCGTGGTAGCAGCCGCAACTCTAGAGCCGTCCGACATCGACGCGAACCTACCCCCAGCAGAAACAGTCGGGGCAGAGAACCGCAATAGACTACGTAAACTTTTACTGTCATTCCCCGGGTTGTTCACCTGGTCAACCGATACAATCGGGCGCACCCGCAAAGTTCAACACGTTATTAACACGGGCGACGCCAAACCCATTTGGCAACCCCCACGCCGAATACCGGTACGATTCCGCGCAAAGGTCGACAAAATCATAGACGAGCTGCTAAAAGCTAGCATTATACAGCCGTCTTCCTCTCCATGGGCATCACCGATAGCCTTGGTCCCCAAAAAAGACGGCTCTCTCCGTCTCTGCATAGACTATCGCCGCCTGAATGCCGTCACTGTCCGTGATTCATTTCCAATGCCGCGTTTAGACGACACCTTAGATAGCCTTGGTGGGGCAGCCTGGTTCTCGACACTGGACCTTATATCAGGCTATTGGCAGGTCGAGATAGACCCCAAAGACCACCAGAAGACCGCGTTTATCGTACCGCAAGGGCTATTCGAGTTCCAGACGTTTCCTTTCGGCCTATGTAACGCCGCCGCCACCTTTCAACGATCGATGTACCAGGTGTTACGACACGTTCTCCCGCACAAGTGCCTCGTGCATCTGTACGACATTATCCTGTTTGGACCCGACGTCGAACAACACAACCGTATTTTAAGAGAGGTGTTAGAAGCCCTCCGCGCTGCCGGCCTGACGTTGAACCCGGCCAAGTGCACGTTCCTACGGCCAGAAGTACAATTCCTAGGCCATAAAATCTCCCCAGGCCGCATAGCCGCTCTACCGGACCGACTGCAACAGATTCGCACCTGGCCGACACCCGCCAACCAGACGCAATTACGTAGTTTCCTGGGGCTGGCCTCTTACTACCGACGGTTTATCCGTAATTTCGCCAACATTGCCAAGCCACTCCACAAACTAACAGAGAAGGGTAGAGACTTCAGATGGTCTCTGGAGTGCGAAGAGGCCTTTACCAGTCTGCGTGCCGCCCTCGTCTCCGCCCCGCTTCTAGCTCTCCCGAAAGTTAATCCTGACGCCCCTCCATTTATCCTCGACACAGACGCCAGCGGCTTTGCCATTGGTGCAGTTCTGTCACAAACGGACGCTCAGGGCGTTGAACACCCCATCTGTTTTGCGAGCAACACGCTGACGAAGTCTCAACGGAGCTACTGCACGTTCCGCAGAGAACTCTTAGCCATAATCACGTTCATAGGGCAGTTCAAACACCTTCTTATTGGACGCCGTTTCATACTACGAACGGATCATAAAGCCTTGCAGTGGCTCCAGTCCATTAAAGACCCTATGGACCAGCTCGCACGTTGGCAAGAGTTTCTTCAAGATTTTGATTTTGACTGCCAATTTCGGCCCGGTCATAGCACGGCAACGCCGATGCCCTCTCCCGCCTGCCCGATCCCCCGCCTACTGAAACGGAAATCCACACAGAGTCGGTTAACGCCATCATGATGTCAGAAACTACCCGTCACACCTGGGCAGACGCACAGAGTACTGACCCCGACACCGCCACCATTTATCACCACCTGACGAACAACCTCAATAAACCTCTGGAAGCTGAAATGAGAGGATCCAGCCAGAACGCACACATCCTCCTGCACCAGTGGCCTCACCTCATGATAGATAATGACATTTTATTTCTACGCGATCCCGCGTCCAAACGGCTCCGCCCCGTAGTACCCGGATGCCTCATCGAATCCGTATTGGCCGAACTTCACGCCGAGTTGGGTCATTGCGGGCAGAAGCGCACCGAATTAGCCGCGCGCGCAAGGTTCTGGTGGCCACAACTTCGAGCGTCCACATACCACTTTTGCCAGTCCTGCGATACCTGCGCATCTTTTAAATCACCTGTAACAGCACCCCGAGCTCACATGCAACCCATGACCACGGGTTTCCCCGGAGAACGCGTGGGGCTGGACATTATCGGCCCCCTTCCGATATCCGTGCGCGGATATGAATACATACTAGTGATGGTCGACTACTTCACGAAATGGGTCGAAGCGGTACCTTTACTCCGCCAAGACGCCATTTCCGTCGCCAACGCTGTCAACAAGTCCTGGATTTGCCGCTGATGCGCCCCCCTAGCCTTTCACACTGACTGTGGGAGCAATTTCGACTCGCGACTATTCCAGGAATTTTGCCGCACACTGGACGTCAACAAAGCCCTTCCAAACCCTACCACCCCGAAGGCAATGGTCTAGTCGAACGAACCAACCGCACCCTTCACAACCTCCTTCTGGCCTTTTGTAAAGACAGTCACGAACACGACTGGGACACACAACTATTCTTCTGCCTAATGGCATACCGAAGCTCAACCCACGCCTCCACCGGATTTACACCCCACTACCTCTGGACTGGACGCGAGTTACGTCTCCCAGTAGACCTCAAACACCCCTTAGATGCTCCTGACCCTACTACCGTTACCACATACGCCTCCCAACTCCGCGAAACAATTCGGACCGCCTATAACGCGGCACGCGAGGTGATCGGCATCTCATCAGCCCACCAGAAAACACAGAGCGATCGCCGTTCGACCGGAACTATACATCAAATCGGCGACTTAGTTATGCACCACAATCCGGTACCTCCACGAGGAATGTCAACCAAATTCCATTACCCATGGCAAGGTCCCTTTGTCGTCTTAGATACCCCGTCCCCCACGACCTATCTCATACGTGACGCTTCCCAACCCCACGCGCCACCTTTCACAACAAACTTCAAAAAACTCAAACCCTACCGCGGTCGTCTACCCATCTGCACACCCGACTCCCTACCCATCATCCCATATGACCAATTCCCCCCACCAATCGTCGAAGTCACTATACCCTCGCCCATTATCCCCAGCAGCACTGAGGACAGGGCTGCACCTTCAGAGGGGGGCATGTAACTCCCCAGCAGACCTGACGGACAGAAACCCCTTTGTTTTAATGTCACTCACTCTTTTTGTAGATCGATCGTGAGGACTACTCACTCGAGTCGATCACCGGTGATGATCGATCTGATAAGTCCAATCGTTGACAACTTTTCGTTTATCTGTTTTTGTTGTGCGTTGATTCTTATGCGTCTACTGTTTCATCTTTTCCCAGATTTTTGAACCGTATTTTGCGTGTATCCATGTACATATCGAGTTTCTGATGTTTTCGTTCATGACTATTTTTCTATCGTTCGTTACCGTTCGTTTTTTGCAATCGAGTTTCGGCGTCAATTCACTGTCATACATTATCTCTCACGGTCAATAAACTGTTTACATCTTCCACCCATCGTTTAATACTCATTACTTACCTGTGTGTCTGCAACGGATGCCTGTGTAATGGATACCTTAGGTGCGAACACTCAGGAGTCGGAGTCCCTGACCAAGAAGCGGAAGTTATACTCAGACCCTATTGATCCCCAGACCGTTCCTTTGTAGCGGCCGAGAAAGGAGGGGCTCCGGGAAACTCGGGGAGGCCTGAGGTTGAATGTGATGGCTTATGGTCTTTCGTATGTGTAGCCAAGGAAAACTCCTCTAAAAGTTGAGTTACTCCATCATACACACTAGCAAAGGAAAGAGGTGGAGTGGACATAATAGCGACAGATGAACTGGATATAGAAGTTTATTGGTAAAACGTTGGCGGCACGATAGAAAAATAAGTTTAGCGCGATCTATAATAAAAGGTAAAAATAGTGGGTACAGACTACTAAACAACTATGAGAATACAACTTAATCCTATGAATCGATAAAACGTGAAACACGGAAAAAGCTTGGTTAGTTGTGAAATAAACGAGACGGAAAACGAATCGGTAATCTAGGAATACGGAAACGATAAGGAAAATGGGAGTTAGCGGAGGGCGCGTCGACAGGCGTCGGCTCCAATCCACGTGACCCAAACTCTGAAAAGGGCGGGCGGGAAGTAAAAAAGGTCCGTTTAAAACAATCGGTCGTTACACCTTTAACAAGTCCCCAGGACATTGTACTCAAGCATAATTTTACAAGATTTAAGCTGAAGAATAGTCCCAGAAGCCGTCGTTGCTCGCATGAAAATGTTCGACCAATCACTATTCAGCACTCTGAAACCCGTGCGCATATCGCGTTTTCTAATCGCTCGTATTTTCGCCCCCCCCATCGCGATGCGTTACCTAAAGCCACATGTGGACGAATCTAATCGAGCGCGCAACCCAAAAAACCAAAACGTAAACAGACGAAAATGGCCTTGGTTAGCTAAAACAAATAAACGGCAAAATGCAGCATGATTAAAAAGCAAAGGAATATGGCTATCGGAGGGTAAATGCGATGGTAAATTGCCTTTGAACAATGCCATTGCCAATTTACAGCCGTTAATATCGACCGTTTCCCATGCAATTCACTGCTAATATTGGTAATGTCGATAGGCACATACATATCGCCATGTCTAACCGGATGACGGACCACTGGAAGCCAAAAGCCATAAAGAAACATAAATTTTGTGTGAGATATGTGAGAATTTAAGAGCGAACGACTGTTTACTAACCATACTAACCCTCTAACCAACTAACCAACTAATTAACTAACTAACCAAACTAACTAAACTAACTGACTAACAACTTACTAACTAAACTAATTAGCTAACTAACAAACCAAACTAAACTAAACCAAACTCACTAAGTAACTAACTAGCTGTATAGACTAACTAACCGACGAATGACTGGTAACCAACCATACTAACCCTCTAACTAACTAACCAGCTAACTAACTAACTAACTAACTAACCAAACTAACTAAATTAACTAACCAAACTATCTGACTAATAGCGAACTAACTAAATTAATTAGCTAATTAACAAACCAAACTAAACTAAACTCACTAAATAACCAAATGCCCTTCCCTTGTCTTTGTCGGTACCATCTCATCTAATGCTAATAAACTAGCTATACCGACTAACTAACTGACTAACTAACTAGACTAACTGACAAACTGCCTAACTAAACTAACTGACTAACAATTAACTAGCTAAATAAACTAACTAATAAACTCACTAACCATGTAAAATTTGAGCGAGCTGAAGAGACTCAAAGTTAGTAATCATATGCTAACTTCTCACTTGGCCGACTCTTTCAATGACATACTCCGGATCTTTTAGTGGCTGGAGGTTTCATCAAAAATAATTTCGCAAAAGTAAGACTCTAGATAGGTCCCAGAATCCGCCGCAGCTCTGGAGAAAAATGTTCGACCAATTACTTTTCAGCACTCTGAAGCACGTCCGCATATCGCTTTTTTTGGTCACTCGCCCCCCCATCACCGAAATTTTGGTTTTTCTTAAACAGGACATAAGGAAGGCTGTTTTTTTTATTTAAAATAGCTTTTTATCGAAAAGAATTATTTAAAGTATTATTCTCTTAAAGAGCGAAAACAAATGGCGAAAAAGCCGTTTAAAGCTGTATGTACAATTGGCCTAATTTAGGGCTGTGTTGAGGGACCGGCCGGGTCAGGGGATGACTGGTTTCTTTCGTCGTCTGAAATCGAAGAAGAGGATACTAATTGTAGTGTCAAGTGAAACATTGAACAAGCCTTTTCTAGTTGGTGCTAGTCGCAATTGCGCGCAGCGTCCCACACTGAAAGCATCTATGTTGTTACATGACATATGCGTTATAGAACGAAATTGAATGATGTGCCGACAACCAAACCGTACGGTTTGAATCCATAGAAAGCCCTCTTCTCCTGGGGCCGGCCGTAGAAAGTTAGGTGTAGGATTATCCTGTCATCAAACAGGATATTGAACGTTCTATCCGCGAAGGCGGAAATAGTGTCCCCTCCGTTATCCGTGAGGTAAGAAATCTAGTAAGAAATGTTGAATTACAGGGTATATTTACCGCTTGCTGTCTGAACTTCGTATACATTATAGCGGTTGTAAAGTCATCCAGCTCCGCCAGGGTAGCCATCCGCTGGAACAGGGGCCCATGACGTGCTGGAGTGGGTGTTGACCCGCAAAAACATCCATGTCCCTGGCGGCTGTCGTAGAGGATATCTAATTTAATTTTCATGTCTTCTACGGTCTTTGCCGTATGGACCAAATTTTCCATGATCCAGCGCAGACAGACTTTCAAAGTATTCTTCCTGCGCCTTGATGGCGAGGTGTCGCGTCGACGCTTTCGATACCTTCTTCTCATGCCTAGGGCAAACAGGTCAGTTGAGATGACAAATACCTGCGTGTGGAGACCCGTCTAAGTTCCTGGTCGCACTGGAGTCGCTGTGATCCGTATCCGACTTCTGAAATGGAGGAAATGTTATTCAAATCACAGTCCTACTGAAGACGAGGAGAGTACGGGGAAGGTCCAAACCCCCTCCTTTTCATACGGATTTTTGGCCGATCGTTTCGGCTGCTTCCTTCTACTTTTTCCCTCGCTGCTGGACATAGCAATCTGCAACCCAGCAGGACAATATGATTAGGAGAGTCAAGTCTATGTAAAAACTCACTGTCTCTCGTGTAGATTCATCTAGCTTAGTGTACGGAGCCGTTTAAGGGAAACAAGCTTCTTCGTCAGAAGAACAAGTCTCCGTGTGGGTGTAGGAATTGGAGGATAAGGTACTATTCCACGAGGATGACGCTGAGTCGGACGGATACCTTTTCCTCATATTCTCTGCAGTTGCTTGAAAACGTGCGCGAAGACCACGCTGAACACGTCTTCTGATTGTTCGCTTCGATATCTTCGTCAGCATCTACGATAAAACAAGAAAACAGGGTTATGGAAACAGAGAATATGTGCAGGGTCAATGGACAACGCGAGAGCAGAAACCGCATGCGCGCAGCAACGTGGGCGAGCAGGAAATGGCCCGACAGAGCGCTCGCGCGAAAGCAAGCGCGTTATCTGATCGATTTGCCAATAATCAAGCGAGCAGTCATCAGCGCCGTTAACGACGCCAGGCCCCTGGGCCGCGAGAGCCAATCAAATAGCAGCAATTAGCGAATGCCGACAGTCTAACTTAGAGTCGGCTTTCATTGCTATTAGAGATCTGTTGTTGAACTGGGCCTTCGTTTGCTGCCGTTAGTGCGGAGGATGCCGTCAGACGTTGAACGTCTAGACTCAGGGCCTCATTGTTTAATTCTTGTTTGTCGAGGCTCATTACCATCTCCTTCACAGCTGCCATTTGTATTTTCACTGTCCACTGTGGGACTTAGAGCTCACACGTCGACATCTTTTACGCCGGACATGCTCATCCCAGGGGTGTCATCTAATGCGAATATATAAGCGAGTTAAACGCTTATCGGTATAGGTAGGAGAGAGGCCTCCCGATAGTTTTGCTCTAGAGTCCCCACTGCTAACGGAAACCTGAAAGGTAATCGTGTCATGCATATGCAAACCCTACCAGAGAGGAGGATGGCGGCGGACATTCTCTGACGCTCGAATCATCTTATCATATCTCGGTTTAATAGTCCGACGTGGTCGCCCACTGTCGGTCGGCGTACGATTTTCCGACATGGTCTACAACCCAGTGGAAACAGTGGGATATATATTAGTGCTGTGATGACGGATTTGCTGGAAAGGAATATAAATATTCTGTATCAACCTGGGATTTTCGTATAAAATATCCCTGATACCAATTAAACGTGAAACGAATTCGATGCGAGTGTCCCTTGCACTTAAAGGGACTTAATCTCCTCTTCAAATTCCTTGCGCGAGACCTACGCATCGCATGGCTTTTCATTTCCACACTATATTGCAGCTGTTAAGACGCCGCGGACGAAAGGTTTGACGATGCGACCTAAAATCGGCCACAGTTCCGCCTTCGATTTGCGGTAGAGAGGTCGACCGTTTATAGCTAAACCAATAACTATATCATCGTCCTCTACAACTAAGCACCCTACCTGCCAGTCGCCGTAGCTACTTCTTCAGTCCAACGTGCGTGTACGTATTCCCCATGACTCACGAAGTCTACTGGTTGGGTATATGATGCCCCCAAAAGCGTCTGAGGATCTGCAGGTAGTTGTTCGCAACTGTCCTAAATATTTCTACGGTGCGATGACAAAGTCGGACTGCAATGCCTAGTCGCGCAATCTACTGCGTATGCCTGCGTGCGTCACAAATTTTTCATTGATAATGTCGGCCCACGTAGGGTTATCCCCCCTGCAGACATCATTGGAAAACGATGTCAGTGGCCTCATGCCTTCACTTTCGCTGGAGTCGAAATCCAACTAGGAGCCAGGTGACGGTCAATCACTCGACTCCGGCTAGATAATTTATGTTTGACATCATTCCCTTCATATGCCGTTGGCTATTCATTTACATTCAGACTTCCTTTTATCAGTAGCATAACTTTCACACGCCTCTAGTCCCTTTTCCCAGTCCCACCGTACGTTAGATGACGTATTTGACGACTCCGACTAGAATATTTCAGAGTAAACGGTCCGTTGTGCCCCACCTGACGGTGCGTGTCCCACCCCCAACATCTTTGACCGCTACAGCTTGTACGACTTGAGCTCCTGTCTTCACGTTCTTCTCCCCTCCCGTCTTCACTATTTTCCCCTCAGCTGTCGGCTATACAGTTCTTACATTGCAGTCTTAAATTGTACGGTGTGCTGGTGTTTGGTTGTCTACTGCATGGGCTTCCTGTTGGTTTTTTGTTACAGTCAACCCAAAACAGGGGCAGACTGCCAGTAGAATCCAGTCAGAGTACGGTCTCTTGTCATTTTACTCCTCGATCGGTTTCTGTGGAAAACGAAAGAGGGTTTAAACTGATATTTTATTGGTGAAACTCTTATTTAGGGGCTGTCTAGCTTTACGTCTATTGTATGGCGTTAACGTGATCATTTACGCGTAACTGACTGTAAAAAGCAAATTAACATGTGGACTACCCATCTGAAATGCCATCCGAGGAAGGATTAGCGTTGTCTGTCTGCCCTGACAGTGTGACAGGGTATAACAGAAACTTCATACATACAGTAGGTGGGCTAACTCATGAAATGTCAACCGAAATTCCGAAATGTGTTTTCGTTTCAGGAAGATTAATTAGGTAGGGTTGTAAAGCTAATCATCGTGCAGCATTATTTTATAATAATCCAGTTACCTCAGGATGCCGGCTTTCTAATGAACTTCCCGGCAGTCATGCTTTACAGAGCATAGTTTCTATATGCAGCCGGAAAGAAGTTCGTTCGAAAGCGGACATCCTGATGTAACTGAATTATTGTATAATTGTGCTGCACGATGATTAGTTTTACAACCCTACTTAATTGATCTTCTCGAAACGAAAACACATTTCGGAATTTCGGTTGACATTTCATGAGTTGGCATGCCACTGAATAGAAATGCCTTTACTTTTTCTCGTTTATCCGTCTCGGAAATTCACGCTATTCCCATGTTTTTCTTTCTGCTAGTTTTCCATGTCTTTAATCACTGCAAAAGTGCCCTTGAGCTGAAGGACCTCCGAATATTCCTTAAACTAACCTTTAGCACAGTAAGTGTTACCCATCGGAACATTCCATCGAGCCCTTTTTGCCCTTTTCTTTCCCAATTCCGATCTCTGCGGTTACCTGTTATTCCCTGTGCCTTTTAGCCATCTGTGACTTAAATGCTTAGCCCCATCTAATGCACACGGCGGAGTTGCATCAAATGAGCCCAAGGTTTGTCCTCAATTTGCTTTTCGAGTTTCTGTAGGGCATATCACCGCAAGACTGTGGTTATTCTATCACTTGTTGCAGCAATTGGAGGATTTCTTTTTGGCTACGATACGGGCGTAGTTTCGGGTTCCATGCTGCAACTGCGACGGCACTTTAATCTGTCATACGTCTACCAGGAGATTGTGGTAAAATGTCCCTGCCTAGAATACTTATTACTAATTTCCCTTATAAGGTGAGCGCCACGATTGTGGCGGCGGCTATATTTTCCTACGCTAGCAGTCCTTTAAACGAAAGGCTTGGACGCCGGCCAGTAATAGCCCTGGCCAGTGTCCTTTTTGCTCTGGGATCTGTCATCATGGGCGGCGCCCTAAACCTCGGCTCTCTTATCTGCGGTCGCTTCGTCGTGGGTGCTGGTGTAGGTCAGTTGTTTTTTGATTCTTCTGTTGTTTCTGTACTTCTTTATGACATCTTTAGTCCAAGATGTCTGATAATCGTTGCGAGTATATTCGGAATTACCAGGCATTCGCTACATCCTAGTTCTCATTTGATAATACAGCGTACCTTAATTGTGGCGGCATCTATCATAAAGTACAGGTTAGTGACAACACAAATGATCACTCTCCATTACAATCGGAGTGACAAACTCTAGGGTGACCGAACCGTTTGCCAAGCCAGGCGAGGCCGAAAACTGCAGGGCCAGAGATACACCAGGTCTGTCCGCGTCCTTAGTCGGCCACCTTTACACCAGGATCGCATGAGATAAAATCTCGAGCACTTTTGTCTTTTGGTTGATGCAGCGCAAACACGAGTACTTTAGATTGACGATCAAGGATGACACAGTTGACTGGCTGTGCTTCTGAACGCTTGTATCCTTGCTCATTAGAGACATGATCGTGGAAACGGTTTTAGAGAACGGAACGCAGACACCATCGGTCGAAATATTCCAGACAATGAATGTCATCAGAGATATGGTCTATGTCTCACATTCATACTGGAAGAAAACTGTGACGACGCCCCATATTTTCTAATTTAGTTCTTCAAACTGCCTACGCGCTAATTTCGGAGGTTTCGACGAAGTTGGACGCAGGCCGCCAACATCTTGTTAGTCCGATGGTCCATTTAGTTTTCGTTTAGTCTATTTGACTAAATGCCGGACCCAAGGCCAGAGAAGCTCTTTACTGGCCCAAGAATGCCACCGTCGATCATGAACGGGACATCACGAAGTCCGAGATGATCATAATCCTCTCGGAATTTATTTTAGAGTTCACTTCCGCTGTATTCCAAAAAGAAGCTCACCAGCATCGCAGCATCAATTGCGTGTCCACTATCGATAATACACGTGACACCAACTTCTGTAACATTTGATTGGTTTACCTTTGGGTTAAAAGCCGACCCGTAAGGCGACTTCTACAGGTTATTTGATTGCAGTTTATGATTGTCATGTCACAGTGCCGCCATTGGAAATTGCAGCATCTTACAGGCAGTCGGCCTGCCAGACTTCGCTCCTCATATCCAAGTCGTATTGCTGCTGATGTGCGGCTACCTACTTGTCGATCGCAATTATGCTTATTTCGCAAGCAATACCTTCGTGGGGCCCCTTTACCACTCTTCAGTCAAGTCTATTCTGCTAGCCGAATAGACCAAAATCTTTAATGATGGCTAAAAGACCTTGTGCTCGGATCCTAGATTTAATCGGTTACATTTCTGCCGCTCCTGCTACCGCCTTCCTCTGCGTGATTAATTGCATGGTCTTGTCTATGACGCCACCCAGTGACAAAACCTCTGCAATACTAAGGTTGATAGTACGAGCTTTCTTTCCACTTCCACAGGCTTGATGTATTCAAGTTTCGATATTTCCCATCGTCAGTTTTGTGTCTACCTTACATTACAGGTTTGGCCTCAATGAC